AGCCGGTACCCAGTGTTTTATATGCACAATCTCCTCTAATCTCCTCTAATCTCCTCCTGAAACAATGTAAGGTAAATGTTACCACTCCCATTTTATAGATGAGGACACTGATCTCAGAGATCAGTGGCTAAAGAAGTACAGAGAAGGGCAGCCGCTTGAGCTACAGGTGCCAGCCACATACACCAGAGCTGGTGGGTTCGAATCCAGCCCGGACCTGCCAAGCAATGCCAACTACAACCAAAAAATAGCTGGGTGTTATGGCAGGTGCCTGTAGTCCCAGCTACTCAGGAGGCTGAGGCAAGAGAATCGCTTAAGCGCAAGAGTTTGAGGTTGCTGTGAGCTGTGACACCCCAGCTCTCTACCCAGGGCAATAGCTTGAGGCTCTGTCTTAAAAAAAAAGACATACACAGATGTTAAAGAACTACTGAATCAGGCAGATCAGACTAAGTCTCAAGACCATCCTTTTTCCACTATGCAAGACCAAGCAGAGTTAAAGAAGAAGTTATAAGTTCTTACTATATATTTAAGACATTACTGAGCAGGTAAAAAACACACACACAAAATGAAAAAAAAAATGTTTGAGGAAACCATTCTAGAAACATGTCATAGGTAACCTGGAAGGAAGCATAGGTCATCAGGAGAGGATAGGAGGTAAATCACAGAAATGTGGAGCAAAGTGTACATCCCAGAGATACATTAAGAAAGAAATGGGCTGGCCAAGATTTAAAACACTAGGAATGGGAAGGTGGAGATGTTCATGAGTTTAAAATCTCAAGAGCCGTTGACCCATTCAATGAGAAACATCCCATTGATCAATGTATCTCATTCCTAAGATACAGGAACTGTATATCTTAAACCTTCTAAAATCGTCCCCATTTCGGGTATTATATATTCCATTCCATCAATTATTAAAGTACTAGGAAAGCCAAAGTTTTCAAATTCAGGCTTTATCCATTAATTTCCTGACCTACTAGAAAAAAAAAAAAAAGACCTGCACATATGCAAATAATCTATTCATTTAAAATAAATACAGTAGAACCTTCATAGTTGACCATCCCCCTACATTAACCACCTCCACCTCCTTAAATTAACCTAATTTCCTTTTTTTTTTTGAGACAGAGCCTCAAGCTGTCCCCCAGGATAGAGTGCCATGGCATCACAGCTCACAGCAACCTCCAACTCCTGGCCTCAAGCAAGTCTTCTGCCTCTGCCTCCCAAGTAGCTGGGACCACAGGCGCTCACCACAACGCCTGGCTTTTTTTCTTTTTTTTTTGGTTGCAGCCAGCATTGTTGTTTGGCAGGCCTGGGCTGGATTCAAACCTGCCACCTTAGGTGTATGTGGCTGGCACCTTAGCCACTTGAGCCACAGGTGCCGAGCCTTTTTTTTTTTTTTTTTTTGAGACGGAGTCTCATTCTGTGGCCACAAGCTCGAGGCCCCTGGCATCATCCTAGCTCATAGCAACCTCAAACTCTTAAGCTCAAGCCATCTTCTTGGCTCAGTCTCCTAAGTAGCTGGAACTATAGGCACGTCCCATCACGCCCACTAGTTTTTCTGTTTTTAGTAGATATAGCATCTCACTCTTGCTCAGGTTGGTCTCAAACTCCTGAGCTCAAGCAGTCCAGCTGCCTTGGCCTCCCAGGGTGCTAAGATTATAGGCATGAGCCACCAGGCTAGGCCTTGACTTAATTTTCATAGAGCAGACATGCACCAAATGGACATATCAGTACAGCTCCTTATGTTGACCACCTTCCCACATTGACCAATTTGTAATAGTCCTTGGGTAGTCAACTTACAGAGGTTCTATTGTACTTAATTATTTGACTATGGAAAAGAAAAAACATGAAATGTAGCCATGTAAAAAGTTCTCAGTATAAAAATATCTTAAAGTTAACACTCGGGAGGCTGAGGCAAGAGAATCACCTAAGCCCAGGAGTTGGAGGTTGCTGTGAGCTATGACGCCACAGCACTCTGCCAAGGGTGATAAAGTGAGACTCTGTCTCTAAAAAAAAAAACAAAAAAAAAAGCTTAAAGTTAAAATGAGCCACAAATTCAGAAATAGTACACTATCTGTACTACACATGATAAGAAAAAGAAAAATAAATAAAATACAGAGCTCTTACAAATAAGAAAATAAAGTACAATTAAAATTCAAATCAATTGACTTTAGGCTGGAGATGCCACCTTCCAGTAATTCACCAAAATGACGAACACAAAGGGAAAAAGGAGAGGCACCCGATACATGTTCTCTAGGCCTTTTAGAAAGCACGGAGTTGTTCCTTTGGCCACATATATGGGAATCTACAAGAAAGGTGATATTGTAGACATCAAGAGAATGGGTACTGTTCAAAAAGGCATGCCACACAAATGTTACCATGGCAAAACTGGAAGGGTCTACAATGTTACCCAGCATGCTGTTGGCATTGTTGTAAACAAACAAGTTAAGGGCAAGATTCTTGCCAAGAGGATTAATGTTCGTATTGAGCATATTAAGCACTCTAAGAGCTGAGACAGCTTCCTGAAATGTGTGAAGGAAAATGATCAGAAAAAGAAGGAAGGTACCTGGGTTCAACTGAAGTGCCAGCCTGCTCCACCCAGAGAAGTCCACTTTGTGAGAACCAATGGAAAGGAGCCTGAGCTCCTGGAACCCATTCCCTATGAATTCATGGCATAAAGCATATAACATAGCACACAGGAGTACCAGTGGACCCATGCTTTTAGGTGCAAGAACCTATTTATTCCCCATGAGCTCATGGCATAATAGGTGTACAGCACAGCACACAGGATAACCAATTAGACCCCATGTAACAGTGATACAAGGTGCTGGAACCTATTTCTCATTAATTCAAAAGTCAATGTTTTGTCACAGTCAATGGCAAGGTACCTCCCTCAGCTACTGGAACCTCTTCCCTATGAATTCATGGGATGGTAGTTAAAAATAATAGCCTAAAAATGTTTGTTGTTTGTTCACTACAAACGTGATTTTTTTTTTTTTTTTTGCCACAAAGAATTATTAAACCGTGCTCGCTTCGGCAGCACGTATACTAAAATTGGAACGATACAGAGATTAGCATGGCCCCTGCACAAGGATGACACGCAAATTCGTGAAGCGTTCCATATTTAAAAAAAAAAAAAGAATTATTAAACCAAATTTTAATGTATCCTAAAAAAAATGCAAATCGGTTTAACATAACTAGCAATTAACAATATCCATATTAAGATAACTAAAGTACCAGAGTTTTCTCATCAGATTTAAAACCCAGAATACTTGGTATTATCAAGGGTTCAGAAAAGCATACATTTTTAAACACAGGAAGTATAAAAGTGTTTGCAACCTTTGGCAATACATTGTAGAATGTAAAATATGCAAACCTTTGACCCAACAATTCCACTTGTGGAAATACAGGATGGCAACCAAGTTCATGTGCAATTTAAAATAGTTGTCTATATAGACACGAACTTTATGGCCACCCTGTATTTACCAAGGAAATGATAAAGTACAATAGATACATATGTATAAAGTGTTCAGCATAACACTATTTAGAATACTGAAAACCTGTTAAATAAGTTATATATAGAAAACAGAATACTATGCAGCTGTTAGAAATAATAGTGTACAGAAAGATAATTTCATGAAGTCTGTTATTAAGCCAAAGAAGCAGACTACAAAACAGTAATAATACTGAGGCAGGCACGGTAGCTCATGCCTATAATCTTAAAACTTTAGGAGGCTAAGGCAGGAGGATCAACCAACCTGGGCAATAATGAGACCTTGTTTCTATTTTTAAAAAAAGTTTTAGGCCAGGTGCGGTGCCTCACACCTACAATCCCAGCACTTAGGAGGCCAAGGAGGGTGGACTGCCTGATCTCACAATTTCAGACCAACCTGAGCAAGAGCGAGAGTCCGGCTCTTAAAAAATAGCTGGGCGCTGTGGCGGGTACCTGTAGTCCCAGCTACTTGGGAAGCTGAGGCAAGAGGATTGCTTGAGCCCAAGTATTGGAGGTTGTGCTTTGAGCTGTGACACCACCGCACTCTACTGAGGGCAACAAAGTGAGCCTGTCTCAAAAAAAAAATTTTTTTTTTCTCAATTAGACAGAAATGGTGGCATATGCCTATAGTCCCAGCTACCAAATAGGCGAAGGCACAGGGAGGTGCCTGTGGTTCAGTGAGTAGGGCGCCAGCCCCATATACCGAGGGTAGCAGGTTCAAACCCAGCCCTGGAAAACTGTAGCAACAGGCTCGGCGCCTGTGGTTCAAGCAGCTAAGGCGCCAGCCACATACACCTAAGGTGGCGGGTTCAAATCCCCCCTGGGTCCGCCAAACAACAATGATGGCTGCAACCAAAAAATAGCCAGGCGTTGTGGCGGGCGCCTGTAGTCCCAGCTACTTGGGAGGCGGAGGCAGGAGACTCACTTGAGCCCAGGAGTTGGAGGTTGCTGTGAGCTGTGATGCCATAGCACTCTACCCAGGGGGATAGCTTGAGGCTCCGTCTCACCAGGAAAAAAAAAAAGAAAGAAAAGAAAACTTCAGCAACAAAAACGTAGCTGAGTGTTATGGTGGGCAGCTATAGTCCCAGCTATTCGGGAGGCTGAGGCAAGAGAATCGCCTAAGCCCAAGTGCTGGAGGTTGCTGTACGCTGTGACACCACAGCACTCTACCGAGGGCAACATAGTGAGACTCTGTCTCTAAAAAAAAAAAAAATGTTTTTAAGACTAATTTATCACAAATGAAAAGCTAATATAGGCCAGGATAGATGGCTCACGCCTGTAATCCCAACACTCTGGGAAGTTGAGACAGGTGGATCACTTGAATTCAGGAGTTCAAGACCAGCCTGAGCAAGAGAGAGATCCCATTTCTATCAAAAATAGAAAAAATAGCCAGGCACTGGGGGAGCCTATAGTCCCAGGTCCTTGGGAGGCTGAGGCAAGAAGGATCACTTGAGCCCAAGAAGTTTTTGTTTTTGTTTTTGAGTCAAGATCTTGTCTCACTTTGTCACCTTCAGTAGACTGTCACGGCATCAGAGCTCACAGAACCTCAGACTCCTGGGCTCAAGAGATTCTCTTGCCTCAGCCTCCCAAGTAGCTGAGACTATAGATGCCTGCCACACGCCCAGCTATTTTTAAGGATGAGGTCTTGCTCTGGCTCAAGCTGGTCTTGAACCTGTGAGCTCAGGCAATCCACCCACCTTGGCCTCCCAGAGTGCTAGGATTACGGCATGAGCCACCTCCCCCAGATGAGCCCAAGAATTTGAGGTTGCTGTGAGCAATGGCAAGATGACACTCTTGCCTGGGGCAAGAGAGTGAGAGTCTGTCTCAAAAAAAAGGAAGAAAAAGGAAAGAAAAGCTAATATAAAGTCAAAATTAAAAAGCAGATGCTTATTTTATCATACTACCACATTCACAATTTTAAAATATATTTTATATCTACATAAATATACAATGTTTTTAAAAACTGGAAAAAACCCTAAACCTATGCCCTCTCTGTTCTCAATCATATATCTACAATATTATAAAAGAAATGAAATTACATTATATATTCTGTTTTATAGTCTGCCTATTTGATCCTCAGTACCTAGAACAGTGCCTGGAATATAATAGCTCTCAATAAATATATATGTAAATGAATATGACAAATTGTTGACAATGAGTTCTCCTCTAGCATGTAAGTACCAGTGAATTCCCTCCACCTTTTGCTGTTATGAGTCTGTGGGTGATATCTATCAAGTTTTATTGCATACAAGCAAAAGCAAAAGAAAATTTTTAATCTATTCAAAATATCTTTCTTTAACAAATATTTCTAAAAGCAAAATCATCAAATAAATTGTGTCTAGCTACACCAAAGTATAAACTATAAACTCTAGGTGATGAGATCATGATTTAAAATTTTTCTTCTTCATAGCCGGGTGTGATGGCAAGGGCCTGTAGTCCCAGTTCTTCAAGAGGATTCCTTGAGCCATGGAGTTTGAGGCCACAGTGATCTATGATGGGATCACTCAATATACTCCAGCCTGGTGGAGACAGCAAGATCCACCCTCAAAAAAGAAAAAAAAAAGGAAAAAAGGAATTTTTCTTCATGCTTTTCTAGCTTCTCAACCTAGTCTGTAATGTGAAATTTTAAATATATGTACACTTAATTGGTAACAGTGGTGAGACTTGGTTAGAGGATTGTCTGCTTCTTTATACTCTTAAGTTTCCTGTTTTCTACAAAGGAGAAAATTCTACTTTTTAATGAGGAAAAAACATCAGAATGGCTGGTCAGTGGAGTTAAATGAATGTTAACAAAGGACAACTTTAAAAAGAACAGTGGACAGGTACTCAAACACTCAAATATAGTGAAATGCAAAGAAAATGAAGACTTAAGTTGAAAGCTTCTGATTTTAGAGAACTGGTCAAGAGTAGAAGGAAAAAAGGAAAGTAGCAAAAGGGAAAGAAGAGCCCAATTCTCTTACAAAATAGTAAGAAAGCAGAATTAGAGTTCTAAACTTCTACCGAGTAGGATGGGAGTAGACATACAGGAAAGGGATAACCTAATTCAATGGCCTCAATATGATCCAAATAGTCCATTATTAAGTGAAAGAGGAGTTTGAGGAATTAAGCTGAGGTAAAATGTTTGAGAAACTGATGAGATAAAATAAGAAAATTAATGAGTTGGACAATGTGTTTATTGTTGGCCCCTTCTAATGCATGCAGTTCTCCAGAAAGGAAGGATGCAGTAACTTTGCTCAAAGGGTGATGCTGGCTCTAGGAGAATCCCCACACAGGTGTTAAAGGTACATTTAGGTTTTGAATTTTCTGACTTTAACATGAACTGGCACAATGAGCTCCTCAGATCATTCAGAGTGATGATCTATAAGAAATAATTTGGACCAGGCTTGGTGGTTCACACCTACAATCCCAGCACTCAGGAGGCAGAGACGGGTGGATCACTTGAGCTCAGGAGTTCAAGATCAGCCTGAGCAAGAGTGAGACCCGTCTCTAAAAAATAGCCAGGCGTTGTGGTGGGCGCCTGTAGTCCCAGCTACTCAGGAAGCTGAAGCAAGAGGATCGCTTGAACCCATGAGTTTAAGGTTGCTGTGAGCTATGACACCACAGCACTCTACCCCAGGGCAACTGAGACTCTGTCTCAAAAAAAAAAAAAAAAAAAAAAGAAAGAATTTAACTATTCTGTTTTTACATCTGTTAAAAATGAAACTACATTTTTCACAGACCTTACTTTTCATATAAAAAGACAAATTGTGTCTAGACATTCACAGCCTCTTTGGAAGAAAAGGTGGTAAATAGCACAACAGTATCATCAGTAACCCAGAGACGACAAATGTTAAAAGCATTATCTAAGATCACTCCCTTCATGAATAATCTTTAGTTTGCAGAAACCCTTATCAAAATGTCACAGAAAAGACAGACTTGCATGTTTACAGCTGAGAAGTTTCCTGTAACATAACACTTTCCATACTATTGAGTTGCTATGCCGCTTTACGTGCAGAAAAATCCCGTTTGTCCATGAAAAAAGTTATACAATATTTCTCTGTAATAGCCCACGTGAATTCCCACCAAACTCTGCTTTTGTTTCCCATTACAATCAAGAATTACAGATAGTGTTTAAGAATGGAAATGGAAATACTTTTCCATTTATTTATTCCATCTGAATAAATCAAAACCTTTTCAATTTGGTTTCCACCTTTAAATCTATTGCAACACATCATAGCTAAAAACCTCCCTGAATCAAAAAAGAAAACCTCTCTTAATCAATGTGTGCATTCTCGATAGCACAATTTAATTTTTTTAATTGCCAAAACAACTAGTAGTAACTAAAGACTATTTCACTTTCATCACAATATTGGACAGTTTGACCTGGTTAGAGTCAATGTTTAAGAATCTTTTACTTGATGCTGAACAACAGTTGCGTTTTATCTCCTAAGAAAACCTTAAGAAAACTTGTGCATTTTTTCTTTAAGCCCAAATGGATGGAATACATAGCCTCCCGATGAGAATTCTCCAGATACCCTACCAGTGAAGCAAATAGCTTCAAATCAAAACTCTTAACCTACACTGTTCAGCACATAAACTGCAAAGTCTCATTCTAGTAGCAAACAAATATCATTCTCAACAACTGACAAAAATCACAAGTCTTGGGAGCTAGAAAGCGGCCGCAATAAGTTCTTAGACGTCCAAAGGCCTCAGTAGGCAGAGAGGAAATCAAAGAACAGAAATGCGAACAAATAAGCAGAGTGTCAACAACTGTTAATATTTACCGCACTCTGAAAGCCCGCCCACCGCCCCCCCACATTGCAAGGCTAGCCCCCGGTTCAAGCCCGTAGCAGAATTTGCCCATGTCTGAATCACCAAGAAACAGGTGGACAAGGGAAAATGAAGCGGCGCCGTGGCATTCCAGTCCCTCACCATCATATTTGGGGTCCGAGCTCTCAGCAGGGAAGTCGATGGCCGGTGGTGCACCCACAGCCCCCGCCCCGTCTCCTTCTGCTTCATGCTCACCGGCCCCGGAGCTGCCCCCCAGCATCGCCAGGCGCGTTTGGGCCGCCACCGAGCCTGCGGGCCAGCGTCACAGCGCTTAAAGCCCGCAGAGATCGCCTCCCGATCCGGAAATAGCCCTTTGAGAGGCGGAAGGCCCGCCCCTGCCACCCGCACGCTGCGGCCAGGGGCGTGGTCGGCCGCGAGCCCGCCCCTTTCCCTTTCAGAGAGGGAGGGTTGGGCCTGTTGGGCTCAGAGCGTCCGGGTCGTGTGTTCCTACTAGTCTAGTCCTTCGGCTACGGCCTGCGGAGCGTCAGAGAAGAGGAGGTCGGTGGTCGCCAAGCCCGGATGGACCCCGGCCGGCTCTCCAGGCTGTTATGAGCATCTGCAGACGAATACTACTAACTCTCACATCTCACACAAAGACTCAGGTATCAGTGTAAGAATCAGGTGTCTGCAAAGACTACTCGAAATGTTTACCTTTCATGGATACAACAGTGCCTTTTTGTCATTTATTTTCCAAAAAATATCACAAGCATCTATAAGAGATGAGTCAGTGAAAGCTAAACCGATTTTGGTGAAGCGTTAAATCTCAGGAATGGTAAATGCCAAATAGATTCCAAAGTGCAAAGTGAATCGAAATTCCGCTGGTTTTGAGACAGAATTCGCAGTTAAAATGTTTTCAAACCTGAGAGCCTTTTCTAGGAAACCCTCTGGCCACACTGGATTGACTATGGTTTGAAACCGTCACGTTCAAAAATGCACCCTCTTTGTCTTCTAGAGGTGTCCCTGATGACACTTGGTCTGAATATTAATCGTTAGGCAATCACTTCGTTTGGGATGCCAATGGAATAAAAATCTTTAAGATTTTGTTCTCAACCAGAGTGTAATGTGCAAAAGTGGCATTAAGAATTTTATTTGAACATATTTTCCATATAAAGTCGTACCGGATGCGACCAGCCTGACAGGGTCAATTAAGGATGTAGTTCTCCTGGCGGTGCCCGTAGCTCAGTGGATATGGCGCCAGCCACATATACCCAGTCTGGCAGGTTCAAACCCAGCCCAGGCCAGCTAAACAACAAAGACAGCTTCAATAACAACAACAACAAAAAATAGCCGGATGATGTGGTGGGCGCCTGTAGTTCCAGCTACTTGGGAAGCTGAGGCAAGAGAATTGCTCAAGCCCAAGAGTGTGAGGTTGCTGTGAACTGTCATGCCATGGCACTCTACCAAGGGCGACATGGTAAGACTCTGTCTCAAAAAAAAAAAAAAAAAAGGATGTAGTTCTCCAGATGACTTGCAAAGGTTAGGAGTGTCTCATCCCACGCTTTACTGATGTTCTGACAGAGCACAGCCTTTCTTGGAAGTGATTTATCTGTATGCATTCAAAGTGTTTGAAATGCAAACACTTCATTTTTTTCTCAATAATTCCACTTTTACAAATTTATCCTAAGGAAAAAGGTAAGAATGAACAAAAATATATAGTTTTAAAACTTGATTGCAACACTGATTATACATTAAAATAAAAAGACAACATAATTGACTAAATCAATTAGGAATATCCATGCAAGGGCACGCTTTACAGGTATCAAAAGTGTTTAATATGCAGTACCTGGTTCTTAGCATCACTGGAAATGCTCAGTATTCCTAAGAGTATGGAATAAGATAGTTTATTCTGATGGGAACATATGGTAAATGAAAGCAAACTTTCTAACAGACTATGTGCAACTTATAGTAAAAGTTTTTAAATAGGCATTTCCTTTGACCTACATTTATGAGTATATCCAGCTGGGTGTGGTGGCCCATGTCTGTAATCCAGGCACTTTGAGAGTAACCCTACCACTTTGAGAGGCCTAGATTGGAGGATCACTTGACATCAGAAGTTGGAGACCAGCATGGGCAAGAGCCAGACCCCCATCTCTACAAAAATAGAACCATTAGCCAGGCATGGTGATGTGAACCTGTAGTCCCAGCTACTCAGGAGGCTGAGGGAAGATGATCACTTGAGCCCAGAAGTTCGATGTTGCAGTGAGCTGTGATGATGCCACTGTGCCCCTGGGAGGGGGTGGGTTTGCAACAGAGGGAGACCCTGTCTCAAAAAAAAAAAAGTATGTCTAAGGGAAATGATCAGAAGAGAAAAAAAGGAGACTCTATAAGAATGTTCACTTTTTAAATTTATTACTCCCTCATTGGGATGTGACTGTTAAAGTATAGTTTATAAGAGAAAAGCAATAAATAAATCCAAATTCTAAATAGAAGAGCTATGAGACATTCAATGAAGTCTTAGGCAACCATTACAAAAATTGAAAAAGAAGCACATTTCTTTCTTGGCTTCTACAATATTATGCTCTTCTGGTTTTTCTGTTTTGCTGGTCTTCCATCACAGGATCCCTTACTGAATCCTTCACCAAATGTATAAATTCTGTAGGACTCTTTTCATCCCTCTCCAAATTCCCTCAGGATATTTCCATCAATAGCACTTTAAATGCCATCTCTAAGCTGACAACCCCTAAAGGTTTATCTGCAGCACAGACTTACTCTCTTGGATGACTCAAAAACATCTCAACTATGTCTAAAAGAACTCTTGATCTTCCTCCTAAAACTTATTTGCCATCACATCTCTTCATCCCTGTAAATGGCACACAAACCTGTTCAAGCCTAAAACCTGGGATTCAACCTTTCTTTATTCCATATCTGTGATGTATCTAGGCTGCCTACAAATTAATTTTTTTTAAAAAGAAACTTTGGTTTGTCTCTCTCTCACCTTCTCTCCCTCATAAATGGGACCCACTTCTAACTCTCTTTGGAAGTGCTCTGAACTTTCTCTTTGTTCTTCCTAAATAAAATCTGTTACCCTGAAGAAAATAAAAATAAAAGAAAAAGAAACATAGGCTGGTCTGAAGATAGTGAGTTATCTCAATTGATGGTTCACAGTCAATTACAGATCAAACTCTTTGTTCTACTCTTCACCCCTTTTTCACTACTGCATTTAACTAGTCTTTAACAAGAGGCCGGATGTGCCTATAATCCAAGCACTCTGGGAGGCCAAGGCAGGTGGCTTGCTTGAGCTCAGGAATTTGAGATTAGCCTGGACAAGAGTGAGACCCCATCTCTACTAAAAGTAGAAAAAACTAGCTGGGTGTGGTGGCGCATGCCAGTAATCCCAGCTACTTGAGAGGCCAATACAAGAGGATCACTTGAGCCCAAAAGTTTGAGGATTCTATGAACTATGATGCCATGGCACTCTACCCAGGGTGACAAGGTGACAGAGTAAAACAACTCTGTCTCAAAAATAAAGAAAAGGAAACACAATACAATATAAACACGCAATATTATACTGTTAACTTAAGAGAAACCCCAAAATAACCAATAAACATAGAAAAAGCTGTATCAATTTTACTACTTGTAAGTAAATGCAAGTTATTAAACAATGAAATATTTCAAAGTATCACACTTGCAAAATTAAAGCTTCTCATGCCAAGTGTTGAGGTTATGAAAAAAAAAGGAATTAGGGCCAGGCACAGTGACTCACATCTGTAATCCCAGCACTTTGGGAGACCAAAGCAGGTGGATTGCTTGAGCTCACAAGTTTGAGACCAGCCTGAGCAAGAGAGTGACCCTTCCCATTCCTGTGGCAGGCACCTGCAGTCCCAGGTACTTAGGAGACTTAGGAGGATTTCCCAGCCCCAAGAGTTTGAGGTTGCTGTGAGCTATGTTGCCATAGCACTCTACCAAGGGGCAACCAAGTGAGACTCTGTCTCAAAAAAAAAAAAAAAAAAAGGAGTTATCACACCTTGAGAAAGAGCAATTTAGCCATATTGAATAAAGTCAAATGGGTGACAAAGATTCTCTCTTTGACCTCATTCTAGTCAAGCTCCTCTGAATTCTCTTCTTGACTAGGGCCCTGATTTTTGAGTTTCCATGTTTATTTCTGCATCATCCAATATTAGCAAAAATTCTATAAATCACTTTCCCTAGAATCCCCCATTCTCAATATCTGATCACCCTCTGTAACTGGTTGGATTCCTCCTCCCCTGACATCACCCAGGTGAAGGTCTGACTGCCCCTGGCCTGCCTTTAGCAAGAATCTTATTAAGTTAGATTAGCCAGAAATCCCCTTCACATCCAATGTAATTTTCCATATACTGACATCCCCCCCCCGCCAGATACGCACACACACACACCTCTCCTTGGCTATAAAATTCCCACTTTTCCTTATATTTGGAGTTGAATCTGACCTCTTTTACTAATGCAAAACATCATTTTAGCAATCCCCCTTAAATAAAGTCAGCTCTGTCATCTTTAACAGTGTCATGAATACTTTTTTCTTGCCACATGCATACTAAAGATCCAGTAATTAACTCTTAGGTGCCCTTTGGACACCCTATATGTGTCCAAGGATATGTGTATAAGGATGTTTATTGCAACATTATTTATAGTAAAATTGAAAATGGCCTAATATCCATCAATACAGAAATAGATAAACATATATGCAAGCAAATATTATAGATCAGTTGCAATAAATTTCTCCACATATACCATTAGGGATATTGAAATCAACACAGCAAAAATCATAAAATGCAGGCTTGGAGCATGTTACTCAGCAGCTAGGGCACCGATCACATACACTGGGACTGGCGGGTTCAAACCCAGCCCAGGCCTGCTAAACAACAGTGACAACTACAAAAAAAAAAAAAAGAAAGAAAGAAAACAACTAAAAAAAGGAAAGAAAAAACTAGGCAAAAATAAAGGGGTAACCAGCTCCAAGCAACTTTAAAACCCAGCAGGGCAGGCATTAAAGCTGGAGGATAATCTCTTTTGACCCCGTGTGCCACCAGTTCCTGGAAATGCTGGGGCAGTAGTTGGGCCCCCAAGGTTGCAGGTAGCCCTTCCCCTATGATCTTGTGGAGTGCAGCCCACATGGCTGCTATAGGACTTAGAGTCTAGTGCTTGAAGCTATCCCAGGTTAGGTGTTGCGTGATACTATTACCAAAATGAACTGATATGCACTCATCTGACACAGTAAAGCCAGACACTAATGCCAAGGCTTGCAGTAGGAGAAAGGGGCTTTTATTGTATGATGCCAAGCAAAGAAAACGGGCAGCTA